TCAGAGATTCATTAAATGAAATAATATCTGTATCACAGGACCCCCGGAAGAAAAATTGTGGGAAAAGGGGGCAGAAGATTTACTTGAACAAATTATACCTGAGAACTTCCTTAATCTGGGGAAGGAAACAGGCATTCAAGTCCAAGATGCACAGAATATTCTCCTCAAAATCAACAAAAACAGGTCAACACCACAACATATCATAGTGATACTTGCAAAATACAAAGATAAAGAGAAAATTCTGAAAGCAGCTAAGAATAAAAGGTCCTTACCCTACAAGGGAAGACACATAAGGTTAGCAATAGACCTGTCCACTGAAACTTGACAGGCCAGAAGAAAGTGGCAGGAAATATTTAACATGCTAAATGAGAAAAAATATGTGGCCAGGAATATTTTGTCCATCATGGCTGTCATTCAGAATAGAAGGAGAGGTAAAGAGTTCACAAGACAAGCAAAAACTAAAGGAGTTCATGAACACTAAACCAGCTCTGAAAGAAATATTAAAGGAGACCCTTTGAATGGGAAAGAGAGTCTAAAAGTAACAAAGAATAGAAAGGAACAGAGACAATATACAGGAACACTGACATTACAGGTAATACAATGGCATTAAATTCATATCTCTCAATAATAACTCAGTATGTAAATGGACTAAAGCTCTAACTAAAAGGCATACTGTATCAGAATGGATTAAAAAACTCAATATGCTGCTTAAAAGAGACTCATTTTAGACCCAAAGACACTTCCAGATTAAAAGTAAAGGGTTAGAGAACCATTTATAATACCAATGGACATCAAAAGAAAGCTTCAGTATCCATACTTATATATCAGAAAAACTAGATTTTAAACCAAAGACTGTAATAAGAGATGAAGAGGGGCACAATATCATATAAATGGGGTCTATCCAACAAGATCTAACAATTGTAAATATTTATGCCACCAATTTGGGCATAGCCAAATAAATAAGTCAATTAATAACAAACTTAAAGAAACTCATTAATAATAAACATACAATAATAATAGGGGACTTTAACACCTCACTCTCAGCAATGGAGAGATCATCTAAGCAGAACATCAACAACAAAAAACTGATACACTGGACCAGATGGACTTAACAGGTATCGGAGTTTTCAGCCTAAAGCAGCAGAATACACATTCTTTTTGAGTGCACATGTAATATTCTGCAGAATAGATGACATAACATATTAGGTTACAAATCAGGCCTTAAACACTACAAGAAGATTGAGATCATACCATGCATATTTTCAGACCATATTCCTATGAAACTTAAAGTCATCTGTAAGAAAAAATTTGGAAAGACCACAACTATATGGAGATGAAAGAATATCCTACTAAAGAATCAATGTGTCAACCAGGAAATTAAAGAAAATTTAAAAAAAATACATGGAAGCAAATGAAAATGAAAATACCACAGTTCAAAACCTTTGGGATGCAGCAAATGTAGTCCTAAGAGGTAAGAATATAACAACCAAGCCTTCTTCAAGAAGTAGTAAAATATATAACCTAAAGCTCAAATATATAACCTAAAGCTCAAATATATAACCTAAAGCTCCTTACATTTAAAGGAGTTGGGAAAACAGCAGCAAATAAAGTCTAAATTCAGCAGAAGAGAAATAATAAATATTAATGATACAGAAATAAAAAAAAAAAAAACCAGTAGAACACATCAACAGAAACTAGGAGCTGGTTCTTTAAAAGAATTAACAAAATTAATAAACCCCAAAGAAGACTTAACAAAAAGAAAAGAGAAAGGACTCAAATAAATAAAATCATGAATGAAAAGGGGGGATCACAACTAACACCTCAGAAATACAAACAATTAGAATATTAGGAACAATTATACATGAACAAATTAGGCAACTGGAAGAAATGAATAAATTCCTATAAACATATAACTACCAAAACTGAGTCTGAAAGAAAGAGAAAATCTGAACAAACCATAACTAGCAAAGAAATTGAACCAGTTATCAAAAATCTCCCCAAAAACAAGAGTCCAGGACCAGATCGCTTCCCAGGGGAATTCTACCAAACATTCAAAGACTTAATACCTATTCTTCTGTTTCAAAACTGTTCCAAAAAATAGAACTGCAAGGAAAACTTCTAAACTGATTCTATGAGGGCAGCATTACCTTGATTCCAAAACCAGACAAAGACCCCACTAAAAAGGATAATCACAGACCAATATCTTTAATGAACATGGAAGCAAAAATTCTTAACATGATACTAGCTAATTGAATCCCAATAGCACATTAAAAGGATTATTCACTACAACCAGGTGGAATTTATTCCAGGGCTTCAAGGGTGGTTCAATATCTGCAAATCAGTCAAGGTGATACATCATATTAATAAAAGAAAGAATAAGAACCAGATGATTCTCTCAATAGATGTAGAAAAAGCATTTGATAAAATACAGCATCATTTCTTGATAAAAATCCTCAAGAAAGTAAGGATAGAGGGAACATACCTTAAAATCATAAAGGCCATATATGAAAGATGCACAGTTAACATCATCCTCAATGGGGGATAATGGAGAACTTTTCCTATAAGGTCAGGAACACAACAAGGATGTCCACTCTCACCACTGTTGTTCAACATAGTACTGGAATTCCTAGACCCAGCAATCACACAACAAAAAGAAATAAAAGGCATCCAAATCGACAAGGAAGAAGTCAAACTTTCACTTGTCGCAGACAACATGATACTTTATGTAGAAAACCCAAAACACTACACTAAAACATTTCTAGACTAATACAGGAATTTGTCAACATTGTAGGATATAAAATCAACACAGAAGTCTGTTGCATTTCTATATACCAATAATGAAGCATCAGAAAGAGAAATCAAGGAATGGATCTCATTTACAATTGCACCAAAAACCATAAGATATCTAGGAATAAACCTAACCAAAGAGGTAAATGATCTGTACTCTAAAACTATAGAACACTGATGAAACAAACTGAGGAAGGAACAAAGAAATGGAAAAACATTCCATGCTCACGGATTGGAGGAACAAATATTGTTAAAATGTCTATGCTACCCAAAGCAATCTACACATTCAGCAATTCATATCAAAATAAGACCAGCATTTTTCACAGACTAGAACAAACAATTCTAAAGTTTGTAAAGGACCCCAAAAAAGACCCCAAACAGCCAAAGGAATCTTGAAAAAGAGAAGCAAGTCTGAAGGGATCACAATTCCGGACTTCATGCGGTATTAGAAAGCTATAGTCATCAAGAGTGTGTGGTACTAGCACAAAAACTGACACATAGATTGATGGAACAGAACAGAGAACCCAGAAATGGACCCTCAACTCTATGGTCAACTAATCTTTAACAAAGCAGGAAAGAATGTCCAATGGAAAAAAGATAGTCTTCAACAAATGGTGGTGGGAAAATTGGTCAGCCACATGCAGAAGAATGAAACTGACCACTTTCTTAAACCATACACAAAAATAAATTCAAAATGGATGAAAGACCTAAATGTGAGACAGGAAACCATCAAAATCCTAGAAGAGAACATAGGGAGCAAGTTCTTTGACCTCAGCCACAGCAACAGCTTCAAAGGCCAGGGAAACAACAGCAAAAATGAACTATTGGTATTTCATCAAGATAAAAAGCTTCTGCAGAGCAAAATAATTAATCAACAAAACTGAATGGGAGAAGATATTCGTAAACGAGATATCAGATAAAGGGCTAGTTTCCAAAATCTATAAAGAACTCATCAAACCCAACACTGAAAAAATTAAAAATCCAGTCAAGAAATGGGCAGAAGACATGAACAGACATTTATCCAAAGAAGACATATAAATGACTAACAGACACATGAAAAAATGCTCAACATCACTCAGCATCATGGAGATACAAATCAAAACCACAATGAGATGACAAATTGCACTACAGATATTTATCCAAAGGATACAAAATAATGATTTAAAAGGGCCCATGCACCCCAATGATTATAGCAGCACTATCCACAATAGCCAAAATATGGAAAGAGCCCAAATGTCCATAGACTGATGAATGGATAAATTAGAAGTGATACACACACACAATGGAATATTATACAGTTATCAAAAATAATGAAATCTTGCCATTTGCAATGACATGGATGGAGCTAGAGTGTATTATGTTGAATAAAATAAGTCAGTCAAATAAAGACTCATATGTGGAATTTAAGAAACAAAACAGATAAACATAGGTGAAGGGAAGGAAAAATAAAATAAGATAAAAAAAAAAGGGGGGGGGGCACCTGGGTGCTTAGATGTTTAAGTGTCTGAGTCTTGGTTTTGGCTCAGGTCGTGATCTCAGGATCATGAGATCAAGCTCTAAGACACTCTCTGTGCTCAGCATGGAGTCTCTTTGAGATTCCCTCTCTGTCTCCCTATGCCCGTCCCCTCACTCTCTAAATAAATAAATAAGTAGATAGATAAATAAATAAATAATTTTTTTTTTTTTTTTAAGAGAGGAAGGCAGGGGCGCCTGGGTGGCTCAGTGGGTTAAAGCCTCTGCCTTCAGCTCAGGTCATGATCCCACGGTCCTGGGATCAAGCCCCGCATCAGGCTCTCTGCTTGGCAGAGATCCTGCTTCCCCTCCTCTCTCTCTGCCTGCCTCTCTGTGTGCTTGTGATCTCTGTCTGTCAAATAAATAAATAAAAATCTTAAAAAAAAAAAAAAGAGAGAGAGAGAGGAAGGCAAACCAAAAAAGACTCTTAACTATAGGGAAAAAACTGAGGGTTGCTGGAGGAGAGGTGGTTTGAGAATGGGTAAATGGGAGACGGGCATTAAAGAGGGCACTTGTAATGAGCACTGGACATTGTATCAAGTGATGTATCACTAAATTATTCCTCTGAAACTAACCACACTATATGTTAACTAACTTTAATTTAAATAAAATCTTGAAATAAAAATAAAAATAAATTAAATTATAACACAATTCAAAGTAATCAAAAGAATATTGTTGAAATTCAGACAAAGACACCTTACCATTCATTTCCTTGTGAAGGGTTTTCTAGTAGCACTCGGATTATGTATAATAAGCAGCTTAATAATTTGAGAGAAAAATTGAATAGACGAATTCTTAGACCTTTAAACAAACAACAAAAATTTAATTTTTATTTGAACTTAGTCCATGAAGGACCAAAAAAACAATGTCAAAAATAACAACTTTAAGTACAGAACTTAAATTGTATTCAGAAACTACAATATCATAATTGTCTAAACTCTTAAAATTTTAGGTAGCTGAATTTTAATTAATTAAATATTGAAACAAAAATTGACATTGACAGATTGTATGCACTGAAAATGGCACTGAATTTTATACCCAAGAATAAATCTAAGTTTGAGCATTCAGAAGTCACAAAAATCATTTCCAATCAAGATTGGCCAAATATGCTTAGAAGTGTAAGCAATTTTTATTTCCATGAATTTTGGAATAAATTTTACCTAGCTAGAAAATCTAGCCGCTTAAAAATTCATCAGATAATTCATAAATCTTTTACTTTCAGAACACCTTGTGGAGTTGATTACAGAGAAATTAAAATCATGTATATAATTATATATAGATGCATATATACATACATATATACACACACACACTCAATTAGTAATTATATAATTGAAGAAGAGTCCTAATAGCATTTGCTGGAAAATACATGCATACATACACACTGTTTAGTTCGACCAGTTGAAACTTACTTTTGACTTTAGGTTGAATATCAATGAAATCTTAAATATTTAAGGGGTATTAAGACTGCTATGTATGTATCTATAAGAATGTATAGGTCACATTTATGCAGCCTATAGTACTTGATGGTGAAGAAGAGCAATTAACATTAGGCAAAATATGCCTAAAGTCTGATTAATAGAAGCATTACCTTTCCTGTAATTATCAGGTGGTATCTGATTCATGCATTATGAATAAAATTTTGAGAAAGGTCTTCTTATAATTATTACTTAATAAAATCTGGAAATGAAATGTCATCCTTTTACTCTGTTATATATTAATGTACTTGAGGTAACATTTCTTAACAGCAAAATGCTAATGCTTATTAATTGTGTAATTTTTCCTAGGTTTCCCTATTAAAATGCTAGGTACATTTTATGGGTTAGCTTCTTTATAAAATCTTTTAAACTGTTAATGAAATTGCCCTGGTTTTATAGAACTGGCCTCTTCAAATGACTATTTAATCAAAATTAGCTGCTGTTGAAGTATTCAAATAATGCATCTATCTTTTCTGGCCTGGAAAGATAGCATTGTCAGTATTAAAATCAAGGACACTTATTCAGATGATGTGGCCGCTTTAGGTAATACTTATTGGTGGGACTTCCTTGGAAATTCTAAACAACCAGGTTGGAAAGGCATAAGATATTATTAGTCTTAACTCTGCAGCTAATATGCCATTAAGAATCTCTAACCAGTGTGCCTTACATACTGAAACAGTCCCTATACTCCATTTGGATAAATTCCCACAATTCAGGCTTTTCTCTTTGAACCCTATAGAGACACAACTCAACCTAGACCACCCCAAGAAGATTCCAGGATCAAAATTCAAAAAGAACAATGTCTACAACAATCTAATATAGGCCTCTCCTTTTTTTTCCTTGACATTTTAAACAAAAATCATATGAAAAACTGCATATTGACTCATTATACATGGCTTCTAAAAAATGTGTGGTATTACAGGGAAGCGACAAGTATCACTAGCACATCAGCCTTGAATGGTCTTAGGTCAGTGACTACGCTAATTTCATGTCTTCTTGAAGTTGAAATGTTTCCCAAATTTATCTGGTGAGAAAAATCAGTGGTGTGAAACTGTGGGCTGAGGCTATACTTCCTGATTCAAAATCTCCAAAGAAGGTTGCTAATAATCTGTACATTTCAGAAAGCCCTAGATATTTCTTCTTATCATGCATGATTGGGAAACATTAAACTCTTCCTCAATAAATCAATTATTCCTGTTTGTAAGAGCCTAATCAGTATCCCTTAAAATAAGGGTATCCTGATTTAAGTTCTTTTCCTCAATGTCTCGACTAATCCAGATGGTTCTCTCACAAGTCTGCTTATTGATGTGGGATTTGGAGAATTACAGGTATTCAAAAATCCTACCAACACCACATGTAACATCTATGCTTTCTAAACTTTTACAGCTGGTAGACAAGATTATCAATACTCATTCTAGATAAAAGATATTTTGCAAAAGGATTGCACAGCTGAATTTTTTTAGACAATTTTTCTAGGCACATATGTACAAACATATAGACAGGAGAATAAAATAAATGACTTACTTGATCTCTGGTTTTTGATAAAAAATAACTTTAGCCTCTCTTTAAATGTGTTTTCATTCATATAGAATTCAACTTGTACCCTGCAAGCAAAAGATGAAATTATAATTAATCTAAAGATAAATACATTAAAAATAATTTTATTTAATGCATTAAATACTTTGCGTGAATCCCCACTACAGAAAATGAAAATTGAGTAAAAATGCTGAATTTTTTGGAGAGAAAGAGTTACTTTCTAATTCTAAACATAGAATAAGTTCAAATACCATATATAATTAATTCTATTATCTGTATTAGCAGATGTAATGCGTGGTATAGATAATTCAAAACAGCAATAATATGTGTCTTTGGAATAATTTTGAAACAGTGCTTTCCCGAGTTTTTCTCTGTCATTGGAATCATTTGGGTGTCTGAAGGATCCAGTTTGAACACTATCACCTGATGCACTGCATCAGAATCTTAAGGGACTGGGCCTGAAACACTATTTTTAAAAAGCCTTTCCCTCCATCGTGACCCTATTTGGGACACCACATTATGGTACACTTTACCTCTTTATTTATTTATCTAGGTTCATAATAAAATATACATGATCAACAAAGGAGTAGTAATGAATGACAAGTAGAATGTTAAAGTCAACATAGATAGGTTATAAACCAGACAAAACAATTAAGGAACTAATTTTATATATTTAATCTTCAATACAATAATACCAACAGTGTAAAAAACAGTAGCATGCTAATAAATACATTTGCTTTCTCCCTAAATTCCAGCAAACTTCTCTCACATGCTGACTAATTAATATTTTCAAAATACTAATTGAAAAGAAATATTATGTTCATGATGATTTGTTAATAATTATCATTTGAAATTATATTTTTATTTGACATTTTCTTAATTAAGTGGTCTTAAGTACACTTCTTTTAAGTTATGATTCCAAAATAGCTAAGAAAGCACTTTAATATTTACACAACAGACTCAATTTCATTTTTCCTAACATCACGAAATTTTGATAATGTGATCTGTATAAACTAGAAACTTTATTTTGTAACTGGTATTTTGTAACTCTTAATCCCCTTCACCTATTTTGCACTTCCCAACTCCTATCCCCTCTGGCAACCACCATTTTATTATCCATATCTCTGAGTTTTGTTCTTATTTTGTTTGTTCATTTATTTTGTTTTTTTTTTTTTAGACTAGTGAATATAAGTGGAATTCTAGTTTTAAAATAAGTCTGTATAGCAAGATAAATATAATCAATAATATTGTATTGCAAATTTGAAAGTTGATAGGAAAGTAAATCTTAGAAGTTATCTTTACAAGAAAAGAAATTCTAGTTTAGTCTAGTAAGTCTGTATGGTGATAAATGGAAAGTAGATTGATTTTGGTGATCATTTCACAATGTATACAAATGTCAAATCATTATGCTCACACCTAAAACTAATATAATGTTGTACGTCAATAATACTTCAATTAAAAATTGCAATATCCTCCAGCAAAACACTTACATATGCAAGTACATAAACTTATACACTTATACACACTACAAAAGTGCATGCACACACATACATGTATCTTAGGAATATCCAGGAGTATCTTAGGAATCCATCATTGAATCTGTTTCCCTTATTTTTTGGACTGAAAAGGCAGTTCATTTTAAATAAAGTAACCATAACATTGATGTCAAGCTAAATTATTTCAAATCTGCTATGGCTACAAAAGTAAATTTGAAAGGACATATGGTTATTATGCAAATAATTCAGCAAAGGGCCATGCAAGTTTGCTCCAGAGTCCATTCTTCAGATATGAGTCTATGAGTCCATTCTTCCGATAATATCTGAAGTTCAGTATTGGGTGTGTAAAAGAGATGTAACTAAAATTAGGTCATTTAAAGCCTTATGCAAAATAATGAAGGATCTGGAAAGCATCTCATATGAGGACAAATTTAAAGAACTGGAAATGTTTAGCCTAAATATGAAGAGTTAGCAGTAACAGAATAGCTGTCTTAAATATTGAAGTGAACATCATTATTAAAATGAATTAATCATAATATGATGCTCTATTGTATAGGATTAATCACAGAGAAATAGGTGAATTATGAATGAGATTACCCAATTTGTAAATGACCATCATTGTGAAGTGAAGAGCTCTCCAATATATACAAATGTACAAGACTGGATAACAGTTTGAAATACTGTGACTGATTTTTATTTCATTTTTTCCTGAGGTAAAGCCAATTTTGCATGAGATAAATTCTCTCATTAAATACTTCCAGATTCCTTCCTCATTATAATATTATGTGAAGTAAAACTATTAATTAATGTAGTGATATCTGAGTCAATACGATCACCAAGGAGCATAAGACATTAAAGCATAAGTTTATACAAATGTTTTTTTAACACTAAGGCTAACATACAAACAAAGCAAAACACTTTTTGATCCATGTCTTTTCTTGAGTGCAGAAAAATGGTTAAGTTAACTACTCATAATATTGAGCAGAGTTTTCTTTTATTTTTGTAATAACAATCTTTCCCAGAATCAAAGCCAGTTAGTGTTAGTATATTCTTGGAGGACCTTCTTAGCACCATACAGTTCTCTAAAATTCAGGGACTTAGTACAGAGTTTAGTGTTTATCCTTCCTAATTTTTTTCATGATTCTATCCTAAATATCCACTTCATATTTCCTTTTCCAGATTTAAATGTGCTTTCCCTTTTTTCCTTCTCTCCTTTCCTTTCCTTCCCCTTCCTTCCTTCGATCCTCCTTTCCCTCCTTCCTTCAGAACTCTCTCCTCCCAACTAGCTTTATCTGAATTTATCTCCATTCAAATAGGTCAACTTAATGCACTCTCTAGATCTTCCCCAGAACCCCACAGTTTTAGTCACATTTACCTCAATGTAATAGTGGAATTATAATTGTATTTTTAAAAAATGGAATTACAATTAGTACGTGGTATCTTGTCCTATTGATATGTTCTCATTGTTTAAAAATATTAGCTTTATATTGGTCGACGACATTTTATTTGATTTGCATAGACCCTACATATTCTTTGTGACATTTATTTCTGGGTATTATACAATTTTGGTTGCAATTTTTGAACTGTTTTGTTCTAACTTTCAACTTTTGGTTTTAGTATTATAAATGGCTACCATATTGAATTCCTTCATATGCAATACATTTTTTTCAGATTTATTGTTTGCGTCTTCTGGACAATCATGTCATCTAAAAATCTATATTTTTATTTACATTTGTTATTATGTTGACTAGCACTTATTGAAGGAAAAATATCAACTGTGGTATGTATTCTTAGAAGGCCTCTTATGCTTTAGCAATAATTATGTTGTTGACCCTGGAATTACAATAAACATGTATATCTTACTAAAAGATATATTGACATATCTTTTATAAAGATATAAAAAAGAAATAAAAAGATACAAAAAGACATTGAAAAAGATAAAAAAAGATATAAAAGATAAATTGATTGCTATCAAAAGCTTTTCTTGATTCTGTCAAATTGATGATACCTTTTGGGGATGTTTTTGACAGTGATTTGGTGAACTGTTCTAATAATTTTTCTATCTTGCAATTATTTTTTCAATTCTTGACTAGTTTTGGTAGTCATGAATTATTCAGGTAATTTACTTGTGGATTCATTTTCTTATATTTTTAGAAGTTTTTCCTCCTTAGTCATAACTAACTAGTACATTGATGTGCTATCATCTTTAGATTATTCTGATATCTTCAAATATGAACTGAAAAATATACAAATTGAAAACCTCTCCAGATTTTTCTATAAATTATAACAATTTGATTACTACAAAAATACTTTGTGTAACCATTGTCAATTTGCCTTAATATTAACTTCAATTTGTTACTTTTTTTTCCTTTTCTTTTCCTTCTGTTGCTTTATTTAAATTCATGCAAGATCTTGTTAAAAGCCAACTTCCTTGTCTCTTAAAATTCTTTATTAATTCTAAGATAGGCCTCACCATTTTAACCACACAAAAAATAATTCTGAACCAGACTGTCCACACATTGTTCCTTCAGAAAAACTATTTCACTTTTTTCAAGTGCTAATAATACCCTGGGCTCTGTAGGATATCAAACCTTTGTATATATTCTCTTTGGGACTTGTAATATGTACAAGGAAGAGTATTCCTCTATTTCTATTTGGCGCTCTCCCTTCCTACCTCCCTCTGAGACTGTCCTATTGGTCACGGAGTCCATGCATGAGTGTTTATGATTATACTCAACTCTAACAAGGCAATACCTGCCTGGATGTTCTGGTCTCAGCAGATAGGTTCAATGGAGACATGTTAGTCTCTCTGTGTATTGTTGGTGAGTGTTTTTCTTTGGAAATTCTACATCTGGATGTCAAGTTAATGTACACAGCACCACTGCGATTCCCGTGTCTAAGGACGTTTCCCTTGGCATCATTTTTGTGCTTTTAAATTGGTGCATCTTTCTAACTCTATGTTGGGTTCTCTGACTCCAAAGAATAAGGAAAAAAAAGGGAAGTCTCTCTGCATTATTACTAGCAGGTTTCTCTCACTCTATTCCCACCACTACTAAAACTTAAAATGGGGCTGATATTTATGAGAATTACACCTTTCCAAATATACATTACTGTAAGTGTACCCTTTTTTATTCTAAAGTCATTGCTATGCACCAAATTATGTCCCCTAAAAAGATATATTCAAGTCCTAACTCCAGTATCTCATGTGACCTTATTTGGCAATGAATCATTGCAGACATAGTTAAATTAAGATTAGATCATACTGGAGTAGGATGGGTCTGTAACCCAGTACCACTCGTCTCTTTATTAGAGGAAAATCTGGACACTGACAAAGAAGAAAGATGGCCATATGAAGACAGAGACAAAGACTAGAGTTTTAGGGCCACAGTCCTAGGAACACTAGGGCTACCAGAGGCTGAAAAGGCGAGTGAGGATTCTCCTCTAGAGACTTAGGAGAGAGGATAGCACTACCAACAACTTGATTTCAAAGTTCTATAATTAATCCAGAGCTTGGAATTAAAAAACCTCTGTTGTTTTTAGGCACCTAGTTTCTGGTTCTTTGTTATGGCAAT